AACATCAGATTTGTTTTGAAAATATCATTGTGGCTGCAGTGTGAATGGACTGCAGGGGTTTGGGCGTGGGTGTGGTGAAGTGTGTTAAGCCAGGATTGCAGAAGATCAGCAAGTTGGGAGGTGAAGGACTTGCAGACTGTCCAGAATGTGGGGTTTCTGGCCCGGGCTTCTTAAAACATATTCCCAGTTCATATGGTAAGATACATCATCTCATCAGAGGAAGTTTTCCTCCTCTTACTCACTAGGGCAAGAACTAGGTCATCTAAAAATTATATTAAACTTTCGAAGACACTATACTTCGTGGAATGGGACTCAGGAGAATTAGTAGAAAGAGGGTGCTTTCACTTTCTACCCTCATTTCTATATTTTTTTAACAATAAAAATGGAAATTTAAATATAAATTTAAAAAACAAGGATAGAAATCCCATCAAATTATTTATAAATGGATATGGGTGAATTTTCTTTTTGCCCTTCAGGACTGAATTTTGAACTCAGGTGAGACCACCCAGGCCCGTTGTTTTTCAGGACTAATCTACAATGGAGAAAAAAATTAAAGAGTAGGATCTACATCCCACAAAGGAATGGTATTAGGAAGTATTTCAATTTATGGCTTCAATATTTACTAAATATTTCAAAAAATTTTGAATTGTTCTTAATGATATTTTCGATAAAAGCCTAAAATGATCAACAGAGAGCTGAGGCTAAACCATGCTTCTTCTTCAAGGAAGCATTAACTACAAAACCCAGAGAAGAAACCTAGCAATGACTTTGGATGAGACACTCAATGGAGAGCTCTGCAGCTAGCTGTACGGTTGTTCTTGTTCTTCTAGATACACATGATGTCTTTATCTAGGACAAGAATGCAAGAACTAGTGACCAATAGACTAGGATGTACGTAATTTTTGGTAACAAATGCTTTGCTAGGCAGAAGCAGGGGGTATCTAACAGCCTATTGAAAGTGTACTTAGCTGAATCATAGATTCACCCAGCATTAACTCATAGCCACATCTGGACACAGAACTGGACTTTTTCCTTCCAATAATCCATTTATCTTTTTTCATTTGCATTAAAGTGTCTGAGTTTCAAGTTCTACACTCCTACTTGTTATTTCAGATAAACACCATTTAGAACACTTCATATTTTTTTGCATCCCACTTATTAACATGGATGTGGAGAATCTGAATAGAAATCCAGGAAAGGCAGAAATGAAAAATTATGCATTAAAAAACAGATTGGTGGGCTGGCAGGTGACATGGTGGTTAAGGGCAATGGACTCCCACATGGCCAATGCAGTCTGAGTCCCAGACCCTGTGGCTTGCTTTCTCACTTTCCCACTCTCTCTCCCACTCTGGTCAAATTAAAATAAATAAGTAAATAAAAAAATAATTCCAGAAAAACAAACCAAAAACATCCGTTTACTTCCTGACATGGAGTAGTGATAGGGTGTACAAAAAACATTAACTGCAACAATGTATAGAGCTATACAAAGCACTTTCATATTCATTATTTTATTTGTCAACTACCCTTTGAGCCAAAGATCCACTCCTACATCACAGATGAACAACCATGCAGAGTCCTAACAACTTGCAAAGATTTAGATACTCTTATTATCTGACTTCAGATTCTTCTTCAGACACACAGAGAAGGAAAGTGAGAAAGCAAACCACCAGGTTCAGGACTCGAACTGTGGTCAGCATTGTGGGAGCATCTAACAGCTTAACCACCATGCCACCTGCTGTCCCATAGATAGTATTTTTATAAGGAGAAGAAAATTAGTGTCCATAACTTCATAGATTATATCTTGAAGTATATGGAAGAAGATATCGATAAGGTATTGGTAAGAGGGTTGTCTGTGAGGAGGGAAATAAGGTAGTTGGGAGAAGTGGTGGGCCGTTTTACTTTCTTAGAATGTTGGGGCTTCTTTTTTTTTTTTCTTTTTTTAACAACCAGTACAATAGGGATGAAATGTGCTACAAAGGGCAGGACTACAGTTATACAGTGGAGTGCTTTATGTAACTTGCTATGGTCTAAATGTTTGTGTCCACCCAAAATGCATGTTGAAATCCCAACTCCTCATCCTCCCCCTGGTCTGGGCCAGCTCCATGGCCTGGTGGTTAATGCAGCCAGATTCCATGTGACCAACTGCACGATTTGAGTCCCAGATCTGACTGCTTTGAGAAATATGCTAGGTATGTTTGCATACATGCCCAAATCAATCCTGAAGTGAGAGAGATGGAGGAGGGGACTGTAGTGTGACTGTTTCCCATGGGAGGTTCTTTCTCCTCTTCCTCTGTCTCTCTCTGAAGAGAACAATGTAATCTGTAGAAAAACAAACAAGCAAATCCAGAAATTCTAACCCCCCCCCAAGGCAATGAAGATTTGGGGAGATAATTAGGTCGTGGGGTGGAACCTTCTTGATAAGATTATAGAAAGCGCCCAGAGAGATCACTTTGTAACGTCAAAGAGAGAATATGGCTGTCTATGAGAAAGTGAGCCCTCATCAGAAACAGAATCTCATGAACACCTTGATCATGGAGTTTCCAGGCTCCAGAACTGTGAGCAATAAATTTCTGTTGTTTACAAGTCACTCAGTATATGGTATTTTATAGTAGCAGCTCAAATGGACTAGGACAGAATTCAAGAACAAGGAAGGACAGTTCAATTTCCTTGGAACCCACTAGGATACTGGGCGGTCGGTCCTCTCTGCATGTCTGACTTTTTGCTTCTTATTCTTTCTTTACTCTCTGGTTTTTTCAAGCCACAGCAAGAACACAGTCTCTAGCACAGCACATGAATTCAAAAGGTACATCCTCAAATCTTAGTTGTGAGTTCAAAAACCCTGAGAGACATCTGAATAACCAAGCTTGGTCAAGTGGATATCCTTTATTCAACTGACGCTAAGTAAGGAAAATAATCATAATAGTAATAAAAAGGAAGTCAAATAATAGGTAACATGCAGACCACTGTGGCCAAATGAATGACTGTAAATGTTCTGATGAAGTACCAAATGTTTTACTAAGATTATACAAAAACCTTTCAAAATTCTAATGAAACCACTATGTTATAATAAGGTGTAAAATCTGGCCACTGGGAGCCTGAAGTCTGCCCATCCCGCTGGACTATGATAAATGCAGACAGACTCTTGGCTGAGACAAGTGAGTGGCTGAGGTTGTTACTGAAGTTCAGCTACTCTAATAGGTATTACTATTATAATCCTAGGAAAACAGGAACGGATATGCTCCTTCCAAAATATAAACCTTCAACTGTGGCTTAAATTTGTTGAATAAAGCCCTTAAGATGGTCCTCTATGATCCGGTCCCATGTACTTCTCATTCTTAAAACCTCACTGATCCTCCTAAATGTTTCCAAAGCATCTGGACCAACGAATAATTGGTCATTCATCAGGTTTTTTTTCCACTACATTGTGAGTCTCCATGATGGCAGCAACTGTTCGTTCTTTGCAGATATATCTCCAACACTTAATATTACATGCTGGACACAGAAAGGATGCTCAGTAAGTACTTGCTAAATGAATCAAGTGCCATGAAATGTTTGTAGTCCCCTGAAAAAACATGAAATTTTAAAGGCTGGAAGACAGAGAAAAGTAATTCTCACTTAACAGGAACACATTTAATCCCTGAATGTACAACTAGCTGGGCTAAAATTCTGACAATGTTACAGAAATGAAACTAAGAATCAGGAGCCAAATAATAGCCTTTGAACTATAATTTGTTTTTAAACCAAATCCTTTAAAGGTTTTCCAAGATTTAAAAATTCTGGCCTCTTAAAAGTCAGAACTAAAATTTGTTTGTACTAGGAACGTGCAGTGAAATCACTCTTTGGGCTAGCAGGTGGTGTGGAGGTTAAGGTACTGAATCTCACATAGCTGACTGCGGTTCAAGTCATGGTCCAAGCAAGCTTGGGGATCCTGCTGAGTGCGTGTACATGCCCAAAATCCTGACAGGAGACTGGAGAAGGGACTGTGGTATAGCATACTCCTTGAGGGGTGATTTCTCACTTTTCCTCTCACTGTCTGTCTCTGTCTGGTGAGTGTATACATCCTATAGCAAAAACTAAAAAGAAAAAAAAAGCAATCACTCTTAGTTATTGCAAATGGTGGATGGATTCTGAATTATTTCAGGTAGAAAGCAACCTTATCAATATAAAAATCATTACTATAACTCAAGTGCTCCATTTGTGAGTGAGGCATCCTCAGAAAAGCACAGTATTTTATACTCCTTGGAAACTTTAAGCTTTTATAATAGCCCTTCCAGCAAACGAAAGCATTTTAGATCAAACAGCATCATTCAAGGTGGAGTCTTAAATATTACTTTAACAGTATCCACAAAGAATCTTGGTTATTAAAATGACTTATTTTATTAAAAAAAAAAAAAAACTATGATTTTACCCACTGCAGGTAGAACTAGATTTTTAAAAAATAGCTTCCTCCTTTCATGAATTATTGTAAGATATGAAGAACCAAATTATTCTTTGGTTTTATTATTATGTGAAAAATAACACGCAGTCTAGTCAAACAACTGTAATGTTTATATTCCATTGCACAGAGATGGGTTATACAAATTAGTAACACAAGTTATTTCTTAAATTCCAAACATTTTCTAAAATATTATTACAGCAGATGCCTAGGATATTAAAACATCAAGGTGGAAATCATACTCTAAGTAGTTAAATATGACACTAAAAATATTGCACATTTTAATTAGAGTAAAATTAAAATGTGTGCTCAAATGCTCTAATAAACTAGGTAGCAGGGCAACTAACAGCTACAAATAAGTCACTGTGGTCCATCTTTACATATGCATATATATGATGATTCTTTAGATAACCCCTCCTCTTGAAAATACACAACTAAAACATTAAAATCTGGATAAATGATGTAAAGAAATTTTAATTCTTCCTAACACCTAAGATCTATGGTGAAGTGTGCTATTATCTATGACTTCATATAATTACTAATTCAAATATAAAAGACACCACACTTGGAAAGAAGAAAAGATCTTTTTAAAGGTAATGGTTTTAATTGAATTAATGAGATGAAAAGATAGTGAAGCCCTTGCTACTTACATGAAAGAAGATTTTTAAAAATAATCACTGCACAAAATACAAAGGGGGGGGTTATGCTGTGGTATTAAATTTTTCTCCATAATGATTTTCTTGACGATTCAAGAACAAATTAAAGTTTCCACGGCAAATTTGTTTTCAAAATGCCGAATTGTGACACAATTGCTGGCTTCACGTTTCTGAATACCTGTTTGGAAGAAAAAATGATGTAAACTTTTGATCCTTTATGTGTAAGTATGTGCATTAATCTTCATAGTTTTTACTTAGACATATAGAAGTATGTCACTAAGTTCTATAGTTTGAATATGGTTATACTGGCTAAAAATAGATTTCTTTCTTTCTCTAAACTAAATATTTTAACACTGCATAGCAACAATACAGATTGCTAATTTATGAACTTGAAGCTATTGACGATAGACTTCATCTTGACTATCGCAGTGTTTGCATGACCATGTATATCCATAGAAACACAGAACCGCACATTAAAAAGGGCAAATTTGATTGAATACGTGAATCTAACTTTAAAAAAAATTATGAACCAAGATCATTTTAAAATGCAGGAAACTAAGCAGTCGATTTCAGATGACTCACCGGCCCAAGGTGAGAGAACACTGCTATTAAAAGTACTAATAAAAAGCCAGGAAGGCAGTTTTACTGGGTGGCAAATTCCAAAGAAATCATACCACAGTGTATTTGAATGGCATTTCTTCTATAGCTCTGTCACATGTACTTGCACTTTATTTTTTAAATGATTTTGAAAAGAAATAGAGAGATGCTTTTATATTTATTTTTTAGGTGAGAAAATAAAGGATAAGGATTTGGCAAAGTGGTATTAGTTGTGTCAACGCTCATAATTCCTCACCCAAATTCCTTTCTCACTAGTCTATGATTACCTTTAAAGTACTCCAAAAGGTAGAAAGCCTGTTTAGAATCCAGATCTCCTAGGAAGAATGGGTCTCAAAGGACCCTCTGGACCCTTCTTGATGGGATAAAAAGAGACCTCAGAGAGATCACGATGTGAGGTCAAAGAGAGAAGATGGCTATCTATGAGAAAGTGGCCCTCATCAGAAATGGAATCTTATGGCATTTTCATCATGGGTTTTCCGGTTTCCAGAACTATGAGAAATGAATTCTTATTGTTTATAAGCTACCAGAATGGCTGCACTAAAGTGGCAGGAAGGAAAGCCGGACTGGATGACTATGTGGAGAGTGAGTATTAGCAACTCAAGGCAATGGCATTTGACAATGACCTTTCCTATCTGAAAAGAGTGAACTTAGAATTGAGATAATTCTACAGAAATCTGGAAATATGATATAGTGACACAATATAATTTTACTTTCTCATTCATGGCAAGCATATTGATAACAATGATTAGGCTTCACTCATCTAAATCTAATTTAACATGATAACATACACTAAAAGAAAACTGCTAACATTATAACATTAAAACATTACCTTTAATAGTTTCTCTGCGTTGCAGCTTATAAGTTTCCTTGTCATGACACAGTCGATAAATAAAGAAACCCAGGTGATCCACATTCTCAATGCGATCAGTAATAACCATGTGCTCATGAATCAAATATGACTGAGGCAGATAGGTTCCAGCCTACATTTAGAAAAGAGTATATTATATATGAATATTGCAAAACATACACTGGGCAGACTAGAAATACAGACCAAATTTTTAGAGATTTTAGTATGGAACAGAGGTTGACAAACTACTATCCACCATTTGTTTTTATTTTTATTAATTTTTTAATCTACCAGAAGGCACATGTGCTTACCAGAAAGAAAAAGAGAGAGAAGGGAGGTGGGGGAAAGAAAGCACCTCTCAATGAGAGTATGGTCGTGCTCAAATTGTCTCTACCCTATTTCTCCTTCCTTTTGAGATTTGGGGCACAAACAAATGCACGTACATGCCTGGTGTCCTTTTCAAGTCACTGGTCCAGCACTTGAACTGTGCAGTCGGTCAGGTGGGACCTGGTACCCTTAACTACCAGGGCCAGCCCACATCATCTATTTTTATAAATAATGTTTTATTGGAATGTGCGCATACCCATCTGTTTACATGTCGCTCAGGGCATCAGAATTAAGTACATGGCTAATTTACTCTCTGACCCTTTAGGAAAACTTAACAACTTAAGAAATTATATTTTAATTTAAAACAAACATTTAAGAGAAAATGAAGAAAAATTAAAAAACCATGTGTATTAATTCCTCTTTATAAAATTAAAGCAGTGTTCTGGTAAGATGGGCTCCTACAGGGTTAATTTCTCAACAGTGAATTCCAAGACACTATAACAGCATCATTTAACAAAGAAAATTAAACATTTTTATACCTTGATGTTAATAAGCAACTCCAATAGGTTTCTAGGTGGCATAACAATGGAAGTGTTCAGAGGGATCACATAGCACTTATCCAGGTTGAGATCTAAGTAGGCTGTGAGTTTCTGGGAAGAAAAAGATACATTTTAGTCAGATTGGTATATTTAAGACAGGCAACAACTGGATTTTGTACCATTAAAATGGGCTGGCTTTAGAATGTGCACATCACTTGCATTTCAACGAATAAAGAAATTGGTGGGATATGGATGAAAATAGGAATGGGAGAAGAAAAATTATTGCTATTAGTAAAAAAAATTCTTACCACAGGTTTGTTCTGTAGTAAGTAATAACGCCTATTAAAATTAACTGCAAATACCTATAATTCGATTAAGAGATTTAGTTTAAATGCTTATAAGCCCATCTGTCCTCTAAGGCATTTATTCTTTTTATATAAAGATGAATTCTTGTCTTTTGTGTCTAGAACACCATAACCATCTTTACAGAACTGGAAAAAGTAACTTTGATGACCGTGTTCTGTGGTTAAGATGAGAACCCTGACTGAGAAAGACTGTCCCCACAGGATGGTTTTTGAGGACTGAGTTAAACCAAATCATGTAAACCCTGAGATTTCTAAGACCTCCGTAAATGTTAGCTATCACTACTTTCTTTTTCTTTTGGGTAAGTTTATTACCTTGAAGTAGGTAATTTCTCAAACTGGTTTATAAACATGCATCAGATGTGTTTATCAGGCAAAAAATGCTTGCAAAGCTAACTTGAATGATATGTCTAAACGTTCCAAATGGTAAGCTTATAGAGAGACATAAAGAGACATACTAACCACAGACAACATGTGAATTTCTGAATCTCTAAATCCTGGTTTGAATAAAACAAAAAATTCTTGGGACAAAAATTACTGGGGAAATTGAAATATAAACTAGATATTAAATACTACTACATTATCATGGCAATTTTGTTGGATGTGATGACAATGCTGTGGTTATGTAGGAGAATACTCTCATTCTTAAGAGGTACCAGCTTAAGTTATTTAGGAGTCAAGTGTCAAATGAGAAAAAAGAGAGATAATGTAAATGTGGTAAAATTTCATAACCAGGTGGAGTAGGTGCTCAAAAGCGGTAGGAAAATATAGAATGAAAACAGAAAAATAGATTAACAAAATTATTAATTTCTGAAATTGCTCTAAGAAATGGGAACACAAATGACCTCTAGAAAAATATGAGAGCATATACAAAATAACAATAATTTGCCAGCAAAGGAGGAATAGCCATGAGGAGAGTTTAACTGTAGGCAAGGTAAGGGGGAAGAAAGGAGAACAAGGCGAGAAAGCGGTCCGATCACTAATGGTCTGTTTCAGATAAAGCACCTCCCCAATGTGGACAGTTTATCCTGTTGGGCAGAGAAAACCTAGCCCACTTTTTAAAGGAGAAACCACACTCGAATACTGAAATAAAAAATATAAAAAGTGTAAGTCAAAGAACCTGCACTCGTCACTATTCTGGACATTTGGCTCACCTTGTTGAAGTCGTGGACAATGTTGGCAGGATCACTATCTGCGAACTCTGGGACAGGCACACTGATGAACTCAACCTCATCTTCTTCAAAGATCTTAATGTTCTCTTCGATTGTCTGGTAGCGAGCAGCGGGGGCATCGGCAGAAGGCTTGTTTAAGACATCATCTTTGATGTACTTTATTCCACAGTAGTACACGTCATCTGGCTATAGAGTTTAAACATGCAGTTCAGCACTTCAGAGTGAGACAGGTTTTTAAATGTAAGCATTACTTAAAAGCTCCACCTCTATCTAAATAGCATCTTGCTTGCAAACTCTTACTTTGAGATGACAAGTCAGACAGTTTAATTACAGCGTTAACATATTCTTTAAGATCAGGTTTTGAAGTATTGTTAAAAAAAAAAAAGCTTTAGAAGACAGAGACAGAGAAAAGCAGCTGATTTTCCCTTCACTTTCTGTGGTTGATAAAAATAGAATATTAAAAGCAATTACTCATCTGGTGACAAGTAAATCTGAAGCACACAGGCCTACTTTTACCGGTAGGCACTGTTTTCATAAGAGAATATATTCAGAAACCAGTGAAGTTTTTAAGAAAGAACATAATTTGAAAACTTTTGATGTGGTTCATGGATTAAATGATTTCTCAGGGATTCTTTCCCTGACATTTCCACATGCATACTGGTAATTCTGATTTTTCCTTAAACTATGCCACAATTAACAGAGGACTATTAGATTATAGCACATCTTTACAGCACTGTCTCATTTCTTTAAGTATATACACATACACACGCACACATACAATAAAAACAAAAAATATATAGCAAAACATTCAGGCACCAAATGCTCTCTCCAAACAGTGGAAATACAAATGATTTTGGAGGGGCAGACTTCCTAGGGATAAAGTACTTCAGTGGAATTTTAAAGGACCATTATTTCACTATATTATATCATATATATATATATATATATATATGGAGAGAGAGCGAGAGAAAGAGAGTTATTTTTTGCAAAAAAACCCATATTAGACAAAATGACTACTGTCTCTGTAATGTCTATCAATATGCCATCATCTCAACTAATATAGAAAGTGAGCATGAAGTTTATACCTCCTCTGGTGGAATGTCTCAAGATTAGTTATTTAATCTAGTTGTCAACTGTTTCTTCAAATCTTGAAATGTTAAAATACTTTAAGTAGTCAAAAGCTGCACAAGTAATTTTCCTGTCAAGGTAAATGGACAGATTTTCTCCTAAGACTACTTAGGAGAAAAAAACAAAACTTATAAAATTCTATGTTATAAATCGCCAGGATTACTATTAAACACTCTAAGTTATAAACAACTTTCATCCTAAGTTTCTTCTACATCACTGCTAAAGTTGCCTAATTCTATAGAGACACCAAGCACTTAGAAAGATAAAGATGTAGCATCAGTGTACACTAGGCCAAAGTGCAAAAGACCACTGAAGGGGAGCCCAAACTGGCTGTTAAGTGACGGTCTACCAACATGATGAATTTGTGGTTGAGGTATCTATTCAACTGGCAGCTGGCAATACTATACTTCTTAGCTACTAATTACGGTAGGAAAACAAGGATAGTCAACTCAATAATCTAAACCCTTTTAGTCAGCAACATTTCAAAACATTATTTTGCTTTCAATGACTGTGTCTAATGGGTTCAGCAAAATATGATCAGATTTTTAAATGCAGCTTTAAAATAGGACCATCACTTCGGCTAGAAGACACAGACCAAAAATATAGGCTTAGAGCAAGTTAGGGACAATTTTCTAATACACATAAAGGAAAGACCAAAAAAAAGGCCAAAAACAAGAAGTTTTCTGCTTACTTGAAGAGCAAAATATTTGTACAGATATGCTCCTCCTAGAATGACACCTGCAAGCATAAATGCAAGTCCAAAGCACATGCACCAACACCAGGCTCTTCTTTGGCCAACTGGTACCACATCATCTGGGTCCTAAAATACAAAAAAGATAATATCACATCTCCAGGCAAAATCACAGAAGACTCAGTGTTGAAAAGATTTTAAGGATCACTATTACTGTTATTATTTTTTTTGCTAGAGGGTGTGTGCACTCACCAGAAAGAGACAGAGAGACAGATAAAGAGGAGAGGAGAAAGCACCCTCCATGGGGAATGGTCACACTGTAATCCCTTCTCCTCCATCTCTCCCTTCTTTCCAAAATTTGGGCACACAAGTAGACACACGCTTGGTGTGCTT